AACCGTGCTTTTGTATTTATTAATATTGTAAGCATTTATTTGTCTTTTTGATCTTTTATTATTGGTATTTTTTTTAGTCTGATTACTAAACTTAACAACTTGACCACAGTGATCCGAAGGAAGTTTATTTATTATTAATTTTTCAATATACTCACAGTTACAAAATATGATGATAAGATAGAAGAAGTTCAATAATGTGATCCCTTCCGGGTAGCAGAATAGGATGTTTGTAATCATATGTTTCATTTGAATTAGCTAAGCGTCCACCAACACGAATAATATTATTATTTAAAAATGGATTCAATTTACCGATGCGATTTGAGCATGGCTTGTCATTACTCAAATTCTGAAATTCATCACCAAAATATTTTAATTGCACTTGACGAAACACTTCGTTTTCTGCAAATTCTAAGTCAGAACTAGTGATAGGGCCTAGCGGTAATTTTTTAATAAATTTAAAAATATAACAGGCAACGCGTACAAATTTAGACCAAAATGAAAACCTGTGTGAAAGTTCGCATAGAAAGGGTTCAATAGACGTAACTATTACCATTGAGACCGGTTTCAATTCAGGTATGTCTACGTTAGCAATCGCAGTGAAGGGTTTAACAGGCCAATTATCCCTTGAAGACGAGGCCCATAGGGGACCATGGAGCCAAAGTGGATGATTCAATAATTGAGCTGGCGTTAACCCCCGTGAGAGGTAATCGCTAGGGTTCTCACTGCCCTTTACATGATAAAAATGTTCAGGTTGTAAATTATCCTGAATTTTCGTAACCCGATTGGCTACAAAAGTATGCCACCTATGAGGCGATGAATGAATCCAGTTTAATGCAACTGTGGAGTCCGAAAATGCATAAATTGCATCTATAGGGTACCTAGCTGAATAAGTTTCATAAACACGTTTAATCAGCTGGGATAGAATTACAGCAGCGCAAAGCTCAAGACGAGCAAGCGAAATTACCTTTAACGGCGCAACCTTTGATTTCGCACAAACCAAAGATATTTGGCATGTGTGTGTAACCTTGTGCATGTGTTACATGAACGTAAACTACCCCACCGTAAGCCTTCTGACTAGCATCGGCGAAACCTAAAATAGTAACGGAGCATTGATCTACGACCCCTAGGTGACGAGGAAAATATAACTTCGAAATAAGCGGTAGTTCCGTTTGGAACTGAGACCAACACTTTATTATATGTGGAGGAGGTGTTGCATCCCAGTCCACCTTTAGAATCCATAACTCTTTTATCAGAAGCTTTGCGTATAGGATTACCGGGGCTACCAAACCCAAAACATCAAATAAACGAGCGACTGAAGATATTTCTTTAGAATATATTTCTTTTAGTACAAGGTCGTTCGTCTGGGATAACCTTGAATGTGAAAACATCATTACTAGGGTCCCAACAGAGCCCCAAAATTTTTAAAACATCATTTTTATCAAATTCTACATGTTGTGACAGTCGATAATCTTCTGGAATTTTGTACAGAACTTCCTTGCAGTTACTAGACCACTTAACCAGTTGGAAATCTCCTGCCGCAAATAATGCTATTAATTCTTGAGATGCATTTATAGCATACTCAGGATTCATAATAGAAGTTACTATGTCATCCATATACAAATCTCTGTTTACGATTTCCTTAGCTAAAGGAAAGCGAGCGCCATCATCAATTGCAAGTTGAGCTATGATGCGCAATGCCAAATATGGACTACACCGAAGCCCAAAGGCAACACGATTAAATTCATAAATTTGAACAGGATTGTCAGGGCGAAAACGATATAAGATACGTTGGAAGCAACGATCTTCCTTACGTACCTCTATTCTCAAATACATTTGTTTTACATCAGCCGATAAGGCAATTGGAAAAAGACGTAAGTTTAATAATATAGTTAAAAGATCCCTTTGTAAGTTGGTACCACTGTGCAGGACATCGTTTAAAGACAATCCATTATTCGACTTCGCACTGGGGTCTAGCACGGGTCTCACCTTCGTACTACTTTTATCTGCACGCACTACAGCGTGGTGTGGAATATAATAACAGCGATCACTTCGCTCCTGTGCACTATGCACCGGCGACAAATACAATTTATTTATATAATCCTGTATGACGTCATCATATAAAAGCTTTAATTGGGGTTGTGATTTGTTTGTGAGTGTGACAAAAAATTTTCGCTCTAAATATAAAAATCTGCGTTTTGCGACGTCAAAGGAGTTACCAAGTAAGTCGGGGCTACATTTAAATGGCAATGCCACTTTATATTTGCCTGCTGAATCACGAGTAGTCGTGGCAGTATAAAATTCCTCGCAAACCGCCCGAAGCAACCGTGCCCGGACAATATCTGTGTCATGCGGTACGTCAGTGGCCATCTCCTATTCATCCACCGTTTGAGGATGGGACGGACAGCCTCGATGGTCCTCAGGCCGGCTGACGGGCTCATTAGCCTTGCCCGCCATTCGATCCTGAGGATCCGCCGAAAATCGGACCTCCGCGCTTCAATCTCTGCCCAGCGGGTGCCTCCCCCATGGAACGTCGCTCCGCGCGCCAGTGGTACACTGACGCGTGGAGCTCCACGGAGGAGACCCCGCCAGCAGACCCGCCGCTTCCCCGGATATGGTGCGGTAGCCTCTAATGGCCCTGATGGCCATGGCCCTGTGTGGCCTGTTGAGGCAGGCCACATTTTCCCTACCTAGGGCCCCCACCCAAATGGGGGCCCCGTACAGGGCCATGGACCGCACCACGCCGAGGTATAGGCGGCGGGAACCTTCTCCCGGGCCCCTCACGTTTGGCAGCAGCCAGCTAAGAGCGCCGGCGGCTGCCATAAGGCGGAACCATCTGCACGTTACGTACCGAACCAGCCCACCTCTGCGTCGAACTCCACAGGCCCCTCCGGTATGGGAACCCAGGCCTGGACGATGGAAGCCTCCATCAGCACGTCTTTATCTAGACGTTTCAACACCCATCTGGGGAGTTGTGGGACATTCCTCTCCTGGCGACCAGGGTGCGGAGCTATGGGTGAGGGGAGAACATCTATCCGAATATACCGATGATCGGATAGAGTCTCCACCTCATCCAACACCTGCCAGCTCCGCACCCTCTGTGCGATCGCTGGACTGCAGAGGGATACATCGACATGCGACTCCCCTGCTGTCTCACGCATGTGGCGGCCGACCCTCGGTTCAACACCACCAGGCCGGCCGCGGCCGCCCAGTCTTCCAGGACCCTGCCTCGAGAGTCGGTGATGGGGGAGCCCCATGCCGTGGATTTGGCATTGAAGTCCCCCATCACCATCATTGGACGGGCCGAGTATAGCTCCAGAGCGGCCCCCAGCCCGTCCATGAACTGCTCGAACTCGGCGAGAGTCCTGTTCGGAGAGAAGTATGTCCCGACAACGACGGTTTCCCCCAACTCACTCCTATGTACCCTGCTCCGCCGAAGTGGCGGCTGACGAGCGGGGTCGCGGGGTTGCCCGCGCCGACAATGGCCACCAGGCCAGTGGGGTCGCCGAACCAATGGTCGCTTCGTGGGACGCGATTTGGTTCGGCGACCACTGCAAGGTCAACTCCCCACTGCACCGCGCTCTGCAGAAGCAGATCCTGGGCGCGCGCGCAGTGGTTCAGATTCCCCTGCAGGAGGCGATGGACTGCCATTATTAACCGGTGTCCATCACCTCAGCCTCTCCCCGGCGGTCATTGCCGCGGGCCGACGACAGTGCGGATCCCCTCGATCCGCCCTGCCGTCTCTCTTGGACCGGGATTGGGGGCACTTTTTGGCCCCCACCCGGTGATCGGCTGGGCGACCCGCCGCTGCGCAAACCACGCAGTGTGGGGCCGCCGAACATCCGGCCGCTTTGTGGCCGGGAGCCCCCCACCGGTAGCAAAGGCCACTCCGGTCCTCCTCGTGCGAGCACCGTGCCACCACGTGCCCGCTCTCGAGGCATTTGTAACACCGGAGTGGCTTCTGCCGCAGCAGTTCCACAGCGGCCGAGAGCCAGCCTATCCGGATCCGCCCTGCCGTCGTCACCTTCTTGACCGCGGCCAATGGGGCCCGCACCCAGCAGGTGCCCAGGCCCAACGCGCCGCGCCGAATCTCGCCAACGTTGACGGCGTCCGCCGTACACTCGCCGTGTTGCGCCACGGCGGCCGCCACCTCCTCCCGGTCGGTACCGTCATCCAGGCCTATGACCCTCATCACTGCGGTCTTGGTGGGCCTGGCGATGCGGACCGTACCGTCCCGGAAGACGTCCCGGAATTTCGACGCGAGCGCGTCGGCCTGGTCTCCCGTCTGGGACCCTGGGATCTCTAGTATCCGGGCCCCAGTGGCAGCGGTTTTGAACCGCAGGCTGTTTATGCCCAAGGAGGCGAGGTCAATTTTGTCCTTCGCCTCCTTGAGGACCTTTGAATAGGTCATTCCAGCCGCTTCCGCCTCCGGACATAAGGAGACTACCACGGCCGCCGAGCGGGGTGCGCACAGTTTGGATGGTGACGGCTGGGCCGGCTTACCCTTCTTTCCCTGAGAGGGGGCCCCAGAGCTCCTTTGAGTACTCTGGGTACTTTAAGTCTGCCTCTCAGGGACGTTGCGGTTTTTGCCGCCCCGTCTCACCGCCGTGTTTCATCCATCGTGCGCGCGTCCTGCGCCCGACGGCCCCGTCTGTTGGTTGCCCGGAGCAGGTCGGCTAGCGGGTTGACCCGCTGGAAGCGGTGGGAATTCGACGCCTCGTGACCCCCGTAGATGAGGGGCGTCCCTGAATCCCGGTCCCCCTGCGCCGGAGATCCGGGATAGGATGTCATACTTCATTCTCGCTCGAACTGTTCATTGGGTAGAACGTGTGTTTGTAAAAGTAAAATAATTTTGTGATTAAGTGCAGCTAAATTGATTGTTATTACAAAGTGATACAGTGCAAATTTCTTTGGTTGCGGTCAAAGTACAAGTGAAACAGCAAGTATTGTATCTTTTTCTATTGAATCATAGTATACACAAAACAAACAGATAACAAACAAAAATGCAACGTACACCTAAATCAAGCCATCCAATTCAGTATTTGTCACAACCTGATCTGACAGTTGAAAATCAAGATAAAGCTCGAAACATATATATAAGAAAAAGAAAAAACCCCGATTTTGAGATGATGGATATTAAGGATTCATTAATGCTTTCTTTTAAAAGCATGCTCAACTCCGAGATTACGGATATAAAAAAACAAAATACAAAAATACTGGAATCAAACGCTGAAATAATAAATCTTTTGCAAATTAATGCCTCTAATTATCAAGAAGTAAGTGAAAAGGTTGAAACATTGGAAATAAAGCATGCTGCTGCACTGGATCGTATAGATGACCTTGAAACTCAGCTAGAGGGGATTCAAAAACAGTTAAAAAGAAACACAGTTGAAATAAGAAACGTGCCAAAACGTGAAAAAGAAAATTTGAATGAAGTTGTTGCGGATATTTATAACGCTATAAACCTAAAAATGGAAAACGTCCCTATAAATGTGTTTAGAAGAGGTAAAAATATTTCACCAATTATAGTAGAATATCAATATTTGGAGCATAAAGAAATACTTATAAAAGCTTTCAAAAATTTTAACAATGAAAATAAAAACGCACCTTTAAATCGACAACATTTAGGATTCCATAGTGATAATTCACGAATTCATATAACAGAATCCTTAACTACCGAGTCAAAGAAAATTTGGATTGCCGCCCGTGAGCTTTTCAAGAAAGGTTCATATAAATATTGTTGGACATCACGAGGCACTGTTTTACTACGGAAAGATGATGGCTGTCCTGCTATTGCTGTTAAATCATATAAGCAACTTTGTGACTTGGACACACAATGACTATTTATTATAAGAAGCTCTACTTGCTGTATTAGATTAGAGTTATTTAATTATTTATTTTTTATTTTGTATTGCCACATGAAGCTTGGTGATAACTATTGGAGAAATGGGGGTAGCGGGTAAGGTAAGTGGACTGTATGGAAATGAAATAAAGGGGGCGCACAGTACGTACCTGCGACTGTAGAGCGGGTTTATTCTTGCACAGCTGCTGCACTCGATGAATACTAAGTTTAACACAGGCACGCACACAAAGTTACTTATTGTTAATGTCAATAATATATTAATTCATTTAAAGCGGAGCGGTTGGGACGAGATGTCACCATTCACGTTAGTAGACGAGGTCGTCGGGCGACCTCAGTTGACATACTGTGCGCGGGAAAGGGATTAGGATATGGGGAATAATACCATACCACTTGATATGTTTATAAATGGCGCGAACATCCTCCCCCGCCTTGAGAAACTAAGGGTTTCTCAAAGAAAATACAAAGAAGAGCAATATATGAAGCGGATGTACATTATAATATATATTCCTAACATACTTATAATTAGTTATAGAGCGTAATATAATAAGAAAAACTTAATAGAATACACCTAGCGGTAAATAATAAGTAAATGCGGTTTATAAGAAAAATAGAGTTTATTGAGAAGGTAAAGGGCTTAATTTAACGATTGGTCGCTTGAGCAAACCATTTTGAGTTTTAACAGACGCTACGCGAGCAATACCATCTGAGCCTGGATATATTTTCACAATGATACCCATTGGCCACCGCAGTGGTGAGACGTTATCATCATGTATAAGCACTACAGTACCAACCTTAACATTGTCTGTATTCTTAAACCACCTTTGGTGAATTAAAGAACGAAGAAGAATGGCACCTGTGTGACAGTTAACGCGGTGAAAATGATCTATTAATAAATAAGTAATATGGTCGCGCTTAGGCAATAAAACGGGATGTTTTGCCTCGAAAGGTAAGTTAGCATTTAATAATCTACCTATCCTAATTATGCCATCGTCATCAATAAAAAGATTTAATTTACGCAGAGCTCCAGAAGGTAAATTACCCTTTTTAAGATCACTAATAACATGATAAAAATGAGCGACCTGAATTACGGTAAGTATATATTTTTCAATATATTTAGAGCGGGGCAATACGCGTATAAATCGCAGTATATAAATAGTAATTCGTAATAATTTGTTCCAGGATGAAACTTTAGATGCAAGATCACAAAGCGGTGAGACTACAGTATTGGAAGCAGCTGTAACGAACGTCTTAGTATTATATTCAGGTAAGTTTTCATATTTTTCAGGTGTAAATGACTCTACCGGCCAAGAGCAGACGGGGCTACTCAGCCACGCGGGACCGTTCCACCACAACTCATGGGTAAGTAATTGTTTAGGCAGTAAACCTCTTGAAAGACAGTCGCTTGGATTATTGAATCCAGCCACGTGATAGAAATGTTTTGATTGTAAATTTTCCTGACATTTAGCCACACGATTGCTAACGAAGATATTCCACCGATGTGGTGAAGAATGAATCCATGAGAGTGCAATTTTCGAGTCAGAAAATGCATAGACGTTCTGTACAGACGTGCGTGAAGAGTAAGCATCGTAAACTAGTTTAGTTAGTTTAGACATTAAAACGGCGGCGCAAAGTTCTAGTCGCGCAAGTGAGACTACCTTAACGGGTGCGACTTTTGATTTCGCACAGACTAATCTCACGTATATATTGCCTGCGGGATCTGTCACATGTAAGTAAATAACGCAGCCGTAAGTTAGTAAGTAGTTTTAAACTAGCATCCGAAAACGCAACGATATTTATTATACAGTCTTGCGTGACAGATAAATGACGCGGTATTTTTAAATTAGCAAGAAGCGGTAATTGTTGTTTAAATGTAGTAAAAATAGCGGTTATATTTGTCGGAGGTACATCATCCCAACCGACCCTTTGGCTGCAAAACAGCCAAAGATCTTTCATAAGTAGTTTAGCGGTAAGTACGACAGGCGCAGCAAAACCTAATACGTCCCATAATCGGGCAATTAGGGAAAGTATGGTACGTTTTGTACACAAGCGGTCATCACAATTGATTTTAAAAACGAAAATATCATCTTGCGGGTTCCATTCGAGCCCTAATATCTTAAGGGACTCACGTCTATCAAACTCAACTTGCTGTGCAAGTTTCAGCGGTGTAGGAATGCTCTCTAGTAGGTTCTTTGAATTACTGGACCATTTAACTAATTGAAAGCCACCTGACTTGAACATATTAATTAATTGAGCGGTAGCCTCGACAGCATCAACCTCATTTAGTATAGACGTAGCTAAATCGTCCATATACAGTTCCTTTTCAGCTATAGAAGCAGCCAGCGGGAAGTTATCGCGTTCATCATCACAAAGCTGACGAATTGTACGCATGGCAAGGTAAGGACTTGACTTAAGACCAAATGCAACTCTATTAAATTGAAAGGTACGTATGGGTTCAGACGTATTAAAGCGGTACAGTATTTTTTGATATTTACGATACTCGTCGGTTACTAAAATTTGTAGGTACATTTGTTTTATATCCGCGGTTATAGCGATTGGAAATGAACGAAAATTTAATAAAAGTAAAAATAAATCAGCTTGGAGATTAGGACCCGTATGTAAAATATCATTTAGAGAAATGCCGTTATGACATTTAGCACTTGCATCAAGGACTATTCTGACCTTGGTGGTGTCTTTATCCTGCCTAATGACAGGGTGATGCGGTATGACGTAACCGTCATCCATATTATCGGATGTATTTAAAACTTCAGATAAATATTGGTTGTCTATATAGTCTTTTATGATGGCATTATAATCAGCGCGCAAACCTGTACTTTCTAGTTTGCGTTCTAGCGATAGCAAGCGACGAAAAGCGGTGATACGGGAATTACCTAACTCGCTAGGATCCTTATAAAACGGTAAAACAGTACAATAATGACCTGACGAGTCCCGGGACACGGTAGAAGAGTACATTTGCTCGCATTCCTTTTCTGCGGGACTTAAATATTTATTTATAGGAATCTCCTCTAATTCCCAGAATTTAGAGAGAGAATCATTAAGATTATTTTCAATACATGTTAAGAAAGCAGAGGAAGATGAGTCTTGTTGAGGCGCGGTATGATCACGATCAGATGTGGTCGCATTATTACAGGGAACGTCACCAATAAAAACATAACCAAAACCAAAAATAGTTTCTATGGCTGGCGGTGCGGGTGGACTTATTATTTTTCCACTTAAAAGAATATAAGGGAACAAATTTGCTCCTAATACAAGTTCGATCTCACCTGGCATATGCCAGTGAGGATCTGCAAGCGGTAAGTCGACTAAATGACTTATAACTGACGTATCTATATATTCAATAGGTAGCCGATCGGTAATACAATCGACAACTAACGCGGTTATAGTGAAGCTTTGTTCGTTATGTTTATCGGAAATCATTATTTTAACATAGCCCTTTATAGGCCTCGTTGTTAATCCGACACCTTTTAAAAATGAATTCGTAAGCGGAATTATGTTTAAGTTTAATTGTTTACAACAATCAATCGTAATAAGGTTATGTTGCGAAGCATTGTCTAAAAGGCAACGAACAGTACGTATTATATTTTTGTTATAGTTACGAACAATAACAGACGCTGTAGACAGAAGTACCTCTGTACGCACTTTACTCGTTGGACATACAACACCAGGCATGGCTGCTGTAGTGGTAGGTACTCGAGTGCACAACGACAAAGGTGCGGGCATCGCGATTTCAATGGGCGCTTTTGAGTCCCCGTCAGGAGTCAAATTACATTGCGTTGCATTACGACAGGGGACTGGCGGGAGTGCGGGAGCGGCGATCGTAGATCGATCACTCATCACATTAGATCGATGAGTGCAGAGCGGTGTATTATTATTTTGTGCCTTATCTAAATGTAATAAGGAATGATGTCGCTTATTACAAGTTCTACATTTGTATTTAGAATTACAAGTGGACACAGAATGCGTTATACTAAGGCAATTTACACAACCTCGTTTAGATTTAATAAAATCTAATCGATTTTTCGGCGGCATTGATTTAAATGTGGAACAGGTATATAACTGATAATGTTCCGAAGTATTACACATAGAACAAGGAGCTCGGTGACCAGAAGTGTCACTTCGTGTAACAAACGAATGTACATTTTGCGGGCGGTTGTTTTTAATATTAGTTAATGTGTTGTGGCTTACTGAATTAATATTATTATTCGTGCGGTCTAATATTTTCACCTGACTTTTTATAAATTCCACAAAATCCATATAACTCGGAATATCTTTATTTCTAGCGGTCATTTCGAAAGCCTGTGTAGTACTTAAATCCACCTTTCGTAAGGCTAAGTTCAATAAAATAAAATCTTGCATATCATCAATCTTTAATTGACGCATAGCAGCAACAGCGGCATCGAAAGTTTCGATGAAATTATTTAATGAAGCGGAATTATTTGTGGCCGATTTAATGTTAAATAATGTAGAAATATAATATGAACCTAAGGCCCTTTTATCCTGATATTTCTTTACTAAACTTTCCCATATGGAAGTATAATTATCACCAGACGGAATTATACCGGCCATTATTTTTTGAGCGCTTCCAGTTAATTTACTAAGTAAATACTGAATTCTTTGTGAATCGGTTAAATCGGTGTTACAATGAATATTACTCCTAAAGGATTCATAAAAGCTAGACCACGTGGACATATTCCCGTCAAAACAAGGAATACAGAGAGGTTCTAGTTTGATACTAGATTTATTATGCGGTACCGATTGTGAAGACGAAGGCTTATTCGCTTCGCTTAATATTAAACGACATCTTTTTATTCGACTAAAAATATCTTCAAACGTTAAAAGTGCCTGGTAATCAGGTTCAAATTTAGGATTCAACTGCATTTGTAACTCGTTTATAGAATCTAAATTTTGTATATATTCATGGCGCAGTGTATCAATGGTTTCACTGTCCGCCATGAATGC